ATATAAAGTTCTTGTCTGTCTTTGGGAGCAAGAACTGCTAGAAAGATCAGGCATTCCATTATGCATCCCTTCTTCTCTCTGGACCACTCTTAATTTCCTTTGTGAAACTGAAAGGAATTGTCTAAGGAGTCCTTCACATTCTCTCTCAGAAACCTACTGATTTGGCTCATCAAAGGAGGTGATCCACTTGGAATTGCGAGGATGCCTCTCTGTGGATGAGAGTTCAGGGGTGTCCCCGAGCTGCCTCCTCACAGCTTAGAAAGTTACTGCTCTGTTGCCTCTATCACAGTGGCGTCCTGTGGATACCTCTATGGGAGTGCCTCTTACATCTCTTTTTATCTTGCATCTTATTTCCTTTTATTTTTGTTTGGTTTTTGGTTTGGGGCCACACACAGTGATGTTTGGGGGTTACTCCTAGCTCTGCACTCAGGAATCTCTCCTAGCAGGGACCATATGGAATGTCAGAGATCAAACCTGGCTCAGCCTCTTGCGAGGCAAGTGCTTTAACTGATTATCACTCTGACCCTAGTTTTCTTTTCTTCTCTTTCAATACTTCCCATTAAAGAGGCCATGGTGAAGAGAAATGACATTTTGAGGAAAACAAACTTAAAATTCCCTGAGGTCAGATACTGAGCAGTTTGGATTTTTCAGCTTCAGGGGCAGTTCCAGAATGCACACAAAGTTGAGAAACTATGCAAGTTTACATTGGTCATTGGAAGTGTTTGTCCAATCTAAAGCAAACTGAAGAACAAATTCTTCTCCCATCAGAGTCTATATTTGGATCAGTACTTAAAGCTGGAGCAATATCACAGCAGTAACGCGTTTGCCTTGCGTGCAGCCAGCCCGGCTGAGCCGGGTTCGATTCCTTCGCCCCTCTCAGAGAGCTCGGCAAGCTACCAAGAGTATCTTGCCCACACGGCAAAGCCTGGCAAGCTACCCATGACGTATTCAATATCCCAAACACAGTAACAACAAGTCTCAAAATGAAGACGTTACTGAGCCCGCTCGAGCAAATTGATGAACAATGGGAGGACAGTGCTACAGTGCTACTTAAAGGGAAGACTCATGAAGGTGTCCAAATATAGAAAGACTCCATCGCCGCTTCATGCTGTGGCTCCTGACAGTGCCTTCCAGACCATGACTTTGGGCATCAGTGCCACACAACGTGAACCCATTTTTCAAGGAGAGCTTCACACCGGGATTTTCCCAGTCTAGATCTATGGTCACAAAGATATGCCTAGAGGTACAGTGTCTCTTTGGCAGCATAGTTTCTTAGATGCTTAATAAAGTTGTGCTAAATTGAAGGCAGGAGGACCAGGCTTTCCTTTTCTTTTATGCATCCAGCCTGACTCCCTAATCTCTGAGACTCTTGCCCTACATTATGTGTAACAGAGTTTGGCAAAGGAGTCCAGTGTGAGTCACAGCCCACTCTCTTGGCACCAATAGAACTCTATGTCTGTGTATGTCCTGGGGATTATGTGAGGCCTGAGGATGGGTAGTTGGGCACTGCTATGGGGGGATCTGGGTAGCTTGAATGATAAGGGTCATAGTTACCCTGAATTGCAAAATTATGACACCAGATGAACCTAAGAAATCGTAAGTTCTTCCAGCGAAGGTATGGGGTGGCATGGCATCAGGGCCTAGGAAAAGGTGGAAATGGAATCAAATAGCACTTTCCAGCGACTTTACTCCCCTCCATACATAAACAACAGACTTCCATAGTTTCGCAGTAAATGAGCAACTGCCCTATGCCAAGTCTGTGTTCAGTCCTGGAGTCACAAAGACAACACCATGGTCCAATGTGTGTTCAGTATATCTCCTTGTGGGGAAGATCAAGTCAGATACTCAGAACTATCAGGGGACCAGCAGAGCAAAGATGAATGTTCTGAAGGGAACCGAGGGCTGAGCTGGAGTTAGCTACAATAATGTGTCTGGTTTCCAGATCAGAGAAACCACCAATCCAGCCTACCAATCCAGTAGCAGGACAGGAACTGGCACATGGGAAGCCCTCTGATTCAGTCCTCCTTCTCTAAATACTTTTCAGTATATTTTTCACTGTTTCTGCTGTTGTTACATTTCATTTAAAATGTGTCCTGTCCCACATGGTCCCCCAAGCACGCCAGGAGGAATTCCTGAGTGCAGAGCCAGGAATAGTTCCTGAGCATTGCCAGGTGTGATTCCCCCCATCAAAAAAATAAATAAATAAATAAAAATGAAACCTATCCTGTTGAGTGGCACATTTGAAAATTTCTCAAAACTAACTTTTGAATATGAGAGGTAAGAAAGAAATTGCCAGCAAAAATGATATACTTCTTCAGACATCTAAGGGGTTAAAAATTTTCATTGACAACGTGTTGTTCTACAGTGACGATTTAAAAACTAGTTCAACTCACCAGAACACCATCTTTTCAGGTTTTCTATTAGGCCTTGTGGTTTCCTCAGACACTGTGTTTCAGCCCTTCTCTGCAAGTCTCTGTGGTTTCCTGCAGTCTTATAGGCAGCTTTGTCTTATTTTCTCCACAGAGCACATGATATTTCCCATAGGCTTCTTCACTAACTGGTATCTCAGGTAATAAATGGGTCCAAAGATAAAGTGAACCTTCCCTTCAGAAGGTGTCCTCTCCTAAATCAAAACTGCTTTTCTAAGCCAGGCTGCAGGAACCAGAGAAAATAATAAACACAGGATAAAATCAACATGATTGAAAAAAGGAGGATAACTCAGGGAAAACAGGATTATTTTTCCCAGAACAAACTACCAAAAGAAATAAAAAAACAACTTGTTTTTCCGGTGGTGATAACCATATGCTACTACTTGGATTGTTTACCAGATAGTGAATTTAAGACCTTTCCCCTGTCAAAATAAAATCTTGCGTTTACCCAGGATACATCTGGCCCCTTAGTCCAGAGAAACAAAGCAAGAGGCTTATTATGCATATGATCAAGTGACTTGTGAAAGCGCTGCCTATGGACAATGTGGAGGTGTGAGTGGAACCTGGGCCACCTGCAGCTGCAGAAAAGCAGGGGGGTATCCTTGTCAGGTGCCCTGTGGGCAACAGTTCCCCTGTCCCCCAGTCCCTTGGCTCTGATTAGGCAGGAAGTACAGTCAGAGTCAAACCATTCCAAGTATAAAAATTAACAAATTCACACACCATCCGGGACCCACAAGTCATGGAAAAAGCCAGCTGCTGACCACTCCAGGAATTACTGTTCGAGAGGTGGAGCTCTGCTTATACTTGGCAGGAATTCTAACAGAGATCCTTGCTGTACAGGAAGCAATGGGAATTCCCAGAGTTTCCTTTCCCAGAGAACCCAAAAGAAACAGAAAGCAAAGGCTTGGTGGATTGAACCACTGTTCAGGAGCCTTCTGTAGCTTCTGATCACTCTTGTTATTGCACTCAGGCCACCCCTATGGCTGACCTCCTTTCCACAGTGTCCAAATGCAGATCCAAAACAGGTTGTCTTGACTCAATTTCCTTAGGAAGGTGTGCTTTTAGGAGGAGATGGCATTTGAATGCATTAGTCTATCTTGCTGTCCTTATTGTCCAAGTATGCCCTCCTTCTGCTTTGTTTTGTAACTATCATGACCAATTTTAAAAATGGAATTTTGCCTTAAAGTAACCCCACATTCCATTTTAGAACTTCTGATATATTGAAGTTAAGAGTATAGTCTTTGGAACCAGGCTGTCTAGTTTCAAAGTCTAGTTCTACAACTTATGTATGTGTGACTTTGGGCAAATTATTTGCCTCATTTTTCTTTGTAAAATGAGGATAACAACACTTTGAACTCGGTGTTATGGGATATGTATCATTAGTTTTGCAACAGCATCAATAAAAAGCTCAGTGGTTACAAGAGCAATTATTTATCTCGCACATTTCTTGTAACTGCAGGTGGCTGCAGATGGATGTATGTTTCTCTGCTCCTCCTCTTCAAAGGGGTTCTAGGCTAGAGGAACAGGCCCTATTGAGGACATGTTCTTTCTGGAAGATAGTGAAAGAAAAGAATGACAGCGGAATCAGTGAACTCAAGTTTCTTCAGAGAGGAGACTTGACTTGTATCACTCACAGGTAGCTGACCAACTCTAGTCACTTGTAAAGTCAGCATCCGCGGGCTCTGGAGCTGTTTGATAGGAGCCGCACAGCAGCAGTGAGGGTGGTTGTTAAGATCAAAGGACACAGCAAGTGCTGAGGAACAAACTGCAGGTATATTGAGTGAATATTGCAAATGCTTCAAGCAGTCGCTGACACAGAATGATCATCATTCAGTAAGCAAAACTATTATTATACTAATAAATCTTTGCATCCCAGAGTCCGACTGCAGTTACCAATGGGGAACCTTCAGCGCATAGGGCTGCAGGCGCAAGTATCCACTGGAAAAGTTCCCCAGGTGGATGGGGCACCCGGGGAGCAGGAGGAACGTGTGAGGCAGGAGAAAGAGGGAAGTCACTACTACATAGAAGAGGGGGCTCGAGAGTGCTGTTGAAAATCACGATGCTTTAGAGAAGAAGAGATCTGCTTCAGCCCTAGACCGTTCAGCAGAAGTCGGGGTATGAACTGAGGAAATTTCTCGGTGCTTTCCCCATCTGACTCTGCTCATTCCCATCTTGCGCGGGCATTTCTGAGGGTACTTCAATAAGCCGGCTTATTGGAAAAACAAGAAACAAACAAACAGAAAACCCAGAACAGGCACAGCTTAGCCTTCCCCAGCGTTTCCTCTCAGTCATAGAAAGTCAAGATTTGTGAAAGCCGGGTTGCTCTTTGGCATTTCACAACCCCTCACACAAGCTGCGGTGCGTCAGGGTCCGCTGGCCCCGGCTCCACGCTCCGGGGGGGAAGTCGGGCTTCTTTCCAAAGGATGGACGAGGGGGTGGGGAAACGACCCAGAGGAAACCAACCACTTCCCTTTCTTTCCAAGGGGCCCAGGACCATAGAGGGCCGCTCCTCCGCGCTCCTAGAGCGGCCGCGCCAGCGCCCGCGAGCGGCGCGGCCCACACTTCCGGCGGCGCGAGGAGCCAGCGAGCGCGCGCGGGCAGCGGCGGGTCGGCGCGGTGAGTGGGCCGGGGCGCGTGGCCCTGAGTCGGGCCGCACGGGCGCAAGCTGCCTGGTGCGAGGCAGCGCGGACGCGGGGCCGGGCGCGGAGCCAGCTGGGGACGGCGGCCGAGGGAGCAGGGGCGGGCTGGGTCTCCGGGAAGAAGCCGGTGGCGGCCGAGTCGAGCGCCGAGGCCCCGCTGGGCACCCCCAGCGGGTCGGGGGTCGGAGGCGGACGCGCCCCTCCTGGCGCTGCATCCTTGACGTGGCCGCTGGCGGGGCACACGGGACTCCTTGCAAACCCTGACCCGTGGAGACGTCCAACACCTGCACGGTGTAGGGGCTTTCTTATCTCCCCAGTATTGCATGGGCTTGCACTGGAGCAGGGGCTGGGGACTGGGGGTCCCCTGAGCATTCACGTTCACCTTCATAACCCCCCACCCCACCTCTGCCCGGGAGCTCAGCAGAGCCCCGCGCACCGCCCAAGACCACTGCGGGGTTCTGGTTTTGGCAGAAGTGGCTACATCACTTGAGTTCTGCAGTACTGTCCCTGCGCTCAGGCTGCCCAGCGATGCAACGTGGCTAAAACCAAGCTTCCTGCGTCTCTGCTGTTCCTTAGAGTTAAAGTGCAGACATTGACCGTAAAGCAGCAGTGCCTTAAAAAAAAAAAAAAGGCAACATATGAATTGTTAAGATGACTTATTCTGTACTGTTTAGATTCATCTCTGAGTTTTCTCCCAGATCTGATTTATCCTTTTATTTTCTCTAATACCACTAAAGTATTGTCCCTCCTTTTTAACCCTTTATAAGTACATGCTCATTTGATAATAATTTGATAGTAAATTATATATTTAATGTTGCGACTTTCTTTTTTTCTCATCCTTCCCCATCAAGCAAAACTCCTAAGGTAAATTCAGTTTTAAGTTGGTTGTATTTATTTGTGAATTTTAAATTCACGTTATTCAAGTTGGAATTACTTTAGATATTTTCTTCTCGGGATTGTCTTTGTTTTCATAGGTATTGAATATATATGTTTTTTTCAAATTGCATTCTAGTCATCCTGTTAATGGTAGGGTTGGTTTTATGCATAAAATATTCCAACACCACACTCTCTAGAGTATTTGCTTCAAACCACAGCACCCAAAAGGAGAGAGAGAACAAAAGGGAATGCCCTGCCACAGAGGCGGGGGGATGGGGGGTCGGAGGGATACTGGGATCAGTGGTGGTGGAGAATGGGCACTGGTGGAGGGATGGATACTCTATCATTGTATAATTGAAATCCAAGCACAAAAATTTGTAAGTCCACAACCGTACCTCATGGTGCTTTACTAAATAAAAATTAAATAAATAAAATAATAATTTGAAAATTTAAAAAAAAAAGTATTTGTTTCACTCCACCATTGCCCCAGTGTCTCCAAGCCCCTATCCATTTCCTGTGGAAAACTTTGAACTGAAGACCAGTTCTTGATTTCTGTTGTTTTTGGGTAATTGTTATTTTCTTCCTATGTTTCTTTATATCTCACATATGAGAAAAATCATTCTATATCTGTCACTCCCCTGACTTAATTTCATTCAGTATGATACTCTCCAGGTCCATCTAGTAGTAGCAAATTTCATGATTTCATCTTAAGGCCAAGTAAGTATATGATGTGTATATGTATCATAGTTTATCCAGCAATCTGTTCTTGGACATTTGGTTAAATATTTAATTTAGGGAGTGACTGATAGTACAGTGGGTAGGGCACATGTCTTGTATGCAGCTGACCCAGTTTTGAGCATTAGCATTCCCATCTGGTCCCATTAGCACTATCAGGAGTAATTCTTGAATGCAGAGTAGGGAGTAACCTCTAAGCATCACTGGGTGTGACCCCAAACCAAATAAATAAATTTTTAGTTTAAACAGGATGCAGTTTTGATGATTTGATGAAGTATTAAAAAGTTGAATAACAAACCATCTATACTTTTTTGTTTCTCTGCACAGAAATTCTGAACTGTTGATCTGAGGAAGTAAACAGTTCATTCAGAAGAAAGTAGGCTCTATTAGAACATATTTGACTCTTCACCATGCGGCTAGAAAAACCTAAGGGAGGTATTTCTCGGAACTCAAGTCAAGGAAAAGCTTTTGAGAACCAGCGCAAAACAGGCCGCCAACAGCGACAAAAATGGGGAGTGACTGTTCGGTTTGATTCAAGCTTGAGTAGATTTAGAAGAAGCCTGGATGAGAAGCCCTATAAATGTCTTGAATGTGAAAAAAGTTTCAGTCAGAGCTCAACTCTTTTTCAGCACCAGAAGATCCATACTGGAAAGAAATCTCATAAATGTGCTGATTGTGGGAAAAGTTTTTTTCAAAGTTCGAATCTCATTCAGCACCGTAGGATCCATACTGGGGAAAAGCCCTATAAATGTGATGAGTGTGGAGAAAGTTTTAAACAAAGTTCAAATCTCATTCAGCACCAAAGAATTCATACTGGGGAAAAGCCTTATCAGTGTGATGAATGTGGCCGATGTTTCAGCCAGAGTTCCCATCTCATTCAGCATCAGAGAATCCACACAGGAGAGAAACCCTACCAGTGCACTGAATGTGGCAAGTGCTTCAGCCAGAGTTCTCATCTGAGGCAGCACATGAAGGTGCACGAAGAAGAGAAGCCTCGTAAAAGCCAGGGGAAAAATATTAGGGCAAAAACTCACTTAGTATCGTGGAAGGCTGCTAAAGGAAGAAAAACTCGTTTACGCTGAAAGTACTGTTTCAGCTCTTTTTGAAGGAAAAAAGTAGCACTCTTTTAGAACTGGAGACATGGTAGATCACTTAAACCCCATATTCTTTTCTAGCATGGAAACATTGGGAATTTAATCACTTTGGCCTGAAGTAAATGACCTGAGTCTAGCCTTCCTCATTTCTTCTTCTGTACCATGGAATATAAAAACTGAAAATACATTTAAAACTATATAAGACCTTCCACCTTATTTGAAGTTACTCCCTGTTTCATTTTGACGAAAACAATCGTGTTGATGACACATGTGTTTTGAGTACAAGAATTCTAACAACTGCTTGGTTTTAGGACTTTCTGTGGAAGAAGTAATTAAGAAGACAATTTCCATTAATGGAGGACTGCAATATATGAAAAAAAAACTATGTTTGCAAAATTTTGTAGTACATTAATCATTGGTTTATGAATGTGATTTAAGAGTTAGTGTATTAAAATGTACTCTGTTTTTAAAGCTCATTAGTATGTTAATTTTCCTGTTTCTTGACTTTTGCTTATGGAAGGTATTAAAGGAGTAGCATTTCCTTGTTTTATTTTTCACAAAGAGAATCTAGAAGCCAAAGTGAGAAATGAATTAGACTGCAAGTCTATTTCTGCTAATGCTATTCCTTGTTATAGTGTTGATTTGTTTCCAGAAGTTAGCATGAATTTATGTTACTTCATCCCAATTCCTCTGAATTCTGTTAGCTTTCTTTCATTTGACAAATTGAGCTAACATTTTAGATCTCTGAATGAGTTTTATTTTCCCGAAATAACCTCAGCTTGCTTGTTATGAATTTACTTGCCTCTCTGCCTTTCCCTTTGAGCCTTTATGATAACCCTGCTTATCTTAAATGTTTGTCAGCAGCAAAATCATTTAAGTCAACTTTCAGTGCATTGTAGCGCCTTTGAAATATGAGTTAATTTTTTCTAAGTTAATGAATTTTTGACAGTCTAGCAAACATGCTTCTTAACTTCCAGCAGAACAGTGCCATGTGTCAGGCATTTTAGTCAGCTTTTAGTAAAACTCAGGTTTTAGTTTATATTGAATGCTAACGTTCTTCTGATTTTGTATCTTTTGTAATCATACCAGTTCATGCTTTATCAATGACAGTTACCCATAAAAATTAAACAATAAAATATTTTGCATACTACCTTGTCTTTATTTTTATCCTGAGAAATGGACTGATTTAGTCGACATATAACAACTTTTTTGGAAACTCTCTTATCCTGTCTGTTTTGTTAGACTTGAGCTCTGTCTTCTTCCTGTTCCTTGTATTCGAGTATAGTATTAGAAGATGGCCTTGTTGACAACGGCTTTTATCTATAAAGTTTTGTGAGAATGAGGTGATCCTTCCTAGATTTTCAAAAGATTGAACCTTTGCTTAGGAAGTGATGTCTTACAGCCAGTTACTTTTTTGCAGGAGTGTGACTATGGGGCCATTTAGGAGATGTTCCAGCAGTATTATAGTAGATTTCTATCTATAGTAACCTTATAGACTAATCCATTTTAACTTAAATTTCTTAGATTTAATTAATTTGTTTTGGCAACAGTAATACGTTTCTGTAAAAGAACAACAATGACAAAGTACATGATTAGATTTTGTAGTTTATATTTTATCTGGAAGATTTTTATGTTCGCTATAAAAATAAAGCAAATAATTTTCATATTTTGATGTATTTCCAGTTTTCTCTTTGCACGTCTTAGCACCCTAAGACAAAAGCATATATAGATCACTGAGGTTTTATGGTAGCCCTCTGTATGTCAGACCACAGCTTATGTTCTTTATGTACAGCTAAGAAAAGTCACACTGTTTTAAATTAATGGAAGATATTCCACTCCTAGGAATTGAGTTATAGTAGAATGTGAACCTGGTAGGCACTATACTCCATGGAAATCTCAAATGAGAGCCTAGAGAGAGTACAAAGCATAAGGCGCTCACCCTACATGTAGCTGACCCGGGTTTGGTCACCTCTACCCCTATTTGGCTGAGCCTGCCAGGAGTGGCCTCTGAGCTCAGAGCCAGAAGTAAGCTCTCAGCACCACTAGGTGTGTTCCCAAAGCCAAAGTACAAATAATCTCAAATGAATAATATCCCTTAATATTCTGAACTTTCATAATAACTGGCATATCAAATTCTGAATCCTGAGTTAGAAGATTCTGAGAGGATAGCAGTCTTAGATAATGTTTAAATATAGGGAACTCCAAGGTTGTTTTTTCATAATTGTTGAAAATTCCTACCCTATAGTGATGAATAAATAGGTTAATACAAATAATACTTGGTTTCCACCCATTCATTTATTCAATTCGTGTGGTTGAAGTAAAATAGATCAAGACAGCCGTAGCTTAAAAAGGACATAGGTTAAATGTGTAGCCATCTTGTTTTTGTCTGTATGTTTTTGTTTATGTTTTTAATGCAAAGCTAAACCAATAAAACAATATGGTACTATGAGATCTCAAAGGAAGGACTTCTGGTTTTATGGCTCTCAATTTCAACATGCATCACAATTTACTTACCGTCACATCTTACTAGACCAGATTTCTGTTTCTACCCCCAAAATTGTTTATTTCATAAGTTCAGGCTATAGCTAGAAAATTTAGATCAATAACAAACTCCCAAGTGACATACGAGAATCGGTGCTATAATCTTTGCAGGGGGTAGAAATGAAACTTAATGTAAAGTGGTGTCTAAGACAGAATCCATATGGGAATTTGATAAAGGTAGGCAGGATTTAATGATGAATATTTTTTCTTTTCCAGTGCTGTTGTGGAGGCAGGGGAGCTTTTTAAGCCATACCTGGTGGTACTCAAGACTTATTCCTGACAGGAGATTTCTCCTGGACCATATGGGGTTCCAGGGAGTGAACCCAGGTCGGCCACGTGCCAGTCAAGCACCTTACCCGCTGTACTATCGCTCCAGCCCCTAATGAAAATGAATACTTTGATCCCTGAAATCAACTTAGATAACTGCCAATTTGAATTTTTGTCTGTGATTAAATTGGAGCACTGTCCTCCTGTTGTTCATCGATTTGCTTGAGCAGGCACCAGTAATTTCTCCATAGTGAGACTTGTTACTGTTGTCGGCATATCGAATATGTCATGGGAAGCTTGCCAGGCTCTGCCATGCGGGCGAGATACTCTCAGTAGCTGGATGGGCTCTCTGAGAGGGACAGAGGAATCAAACCCGAGTAGGCCACATGCAAGGCAAACGCCCTACGTGCTGTGCAGTGCCCGCTTGAACAAATCGATGAACAACGGGAAGGCAGTGCTACAGTGCTATTATTAAATTGGAGAACTTACCTATGATTAAGATGTGGGTGCAAAATATATGTAGAGCACTTAGTATGGAGCCTAAGATAATTTTTGTGATTAACTGATATAATTAATAGTCACCAGAAACAGATAAACTATTGACTCAAATCTGAAATTGTCAGTGACAGAAATTTCACTCCTATAAATTTAAAGATTCTTTATGTTGAAACTTGGAGGTGGGGTGGAGGAGATATTAACCTAATACGTTAATAATCACTGTATCACTGTCCTGTTGTTCATCAATTTGCTCGAGCGGGCCCAGTAACATTGTGAAACTTGTTGTTACTGTGTTTGGCATATCAAATACTACATGGGTAGCTTGCCAGGCTTTGCCGTGCAGGCAAGATACTCTCGTTAGCTTGCCGGGCTCTCTGAGAGGAGCTGAGGAATCGAACTCGGGTTGGCCATGTTGGCTGCATGCAAGGCAAATGCCCTACCTACTGTGCTATCGCTCCTGCGTTAATAATAGAAAATTGAAAATCTTAATTGCTCAGGAGCAGAGGTGGGATTGGACTTACTCCTGACTCTGCTCAGGGATCACTCTAGTCACTCCTAATGGTGCTTAGAGGACCCTATGTGATGTCAGGAATAGAACCAGGGACAGCTGTAGGCAAGGCAAGCACATTAATTCTTGTACTATTTCTCTATCCCCAATTTTATGAATTTTATTATTGGGCATGATAACACAGCAGTAGGGCGTTTGCCTTGCGTGCAGCCAGCCTGGCCGAACCGGGTTCAATTCCTCCGCCCCTCTTGGAGAGCCTGGCAAGCTACCGGGAGTATTCGGTATGCCAAACACAGTAACAAGAAGTCTCACAATGGAGACGTTACTGGGCCCGCTCGAGCAAATCGATGAACAACGGGAGGACAGTGTTTATTGGGAGTACCACTTAAATACATAGTCACAAACAGAATACTTCACATACTAAGGAAACAAAGTGCTTTTTATTTTGCTGAAGTAGTAAAATTTTGTTGAGCACTGACAACTTGTAAAAAGATTGGAAGAAAGGCTGCTTTTTAAATCATACTGAAGCAGGTGATGAAGTTGCAGTGTAGTTGCCACTAAACTGGGGGAATGTACCTCTCTTCAGGGAGGGAATTAAAGATCTCTTTACTTATATTCTAGGAATATAAAGGAAACAAAACCTTCAGTCATAAATAAGTAAACCCATGAGAATGAGTGTTAAACACTGAAATGCACGTGCTTATTGAAAGTCTAACTGAGTTTCATCAGATAGTTGCCATGCCCATAATCAGGCACTGATATACGACCTCAATTTTGCAATAGATACTAGAAAACATTTATCAATTTGCCCCACTTGGACTTGATATTTTATGGCTGCAAAGACTCCATCTGTGACTTTGTGTTTAGGGAGAAAGCTTGTGGTAAAAGGGAAGAGGCCAAGTTGAATCTAGATGGAAGCTGCAATGCACAGAAAATCTGCTCAGCAACAACAACAAATAACTTTTAAGTTGACCCTTGACTCAGCCAACAGATTTGTGGGAGCCAATGCTGAATGAACCTTAAGTAAAGGCCCTCCCGTTGATCGTCGATTTGCTGGAGCGGGCCCAGTGATGTCTCCATTGGAGACTTTGTTGTTACTGTGTCTGGCATATCGAATACTCTCGGTAGCTTGCCGGGCTCTCCGAGAGGGGCGGAGGAATCGAACTCGGGTCGGCCATGTTGGCCGCGTGTAAGGCAAACGCCCTACCCGCTGTGCTATCGCTCCAGCCCAAGGTAAAGGTAAAGGCCCTCTCGTTGATCGTCGATTTGCTCAAGCGGGCCCAGTAACGTCTCCATTGGAGACTTTGTTGTTACTGTGTTTGGCATATGGAATACGTCACGGGGAGCTTGCCAGGCTCTGCCGTGCGGGCGAGATACTCTCGGTAGCTTGCCGGGCTCTCCGAGAGGGGCGGAGGAATCGAACTCGGGTCGGCCATGTTGGCCGCTTGTAAGGCGAACGCCCTCCCGTATCAATGTTAATGTTAAAACAGTTGAATTAGATGGGATACCTAGAGATTTTGGGAGCATCATTTGAAGGTGATGACCCAATGAGAAATAACATTAGTGGCTAAAGGAAAAAAATAGAAAAGACCGAGCTGATTAGGTGGATATGCTATAGGGCTTTATTCACTTCATTTTCTACCCAGAGCCCAAATCTTTGCTCGTTCTACTCTCTGTCACACACCAAACTACAGAAACTCCAAACTACCCTGTACTGTTTGCTTACTCTTCTAAGGAAGCAAGCCTTGAGCCTTCATTAAATTGAACTGTGATGATTCATTTTGCTATCTCACTTTCCCTTTCACCAATGAGACTGAGTTCCTGGCATAGATGGTTACTCAATTAAAAGTTTTGAAGACAGTCAACAGGAGAGTGCAGAAGGAAGGTTAGAGAAAGAGGGAAAAAGTTAATTCTTCAAAGTACTCAGCATGCTAGTAGAATATCACCTGAAAGTTTTCTGGTCCCTGCCATCTCTATCCCTCTTCTTCAACCTTCCTTGTCTCTTCTTTGTCCTTGCCCATTGCTTAACTCTATTTTTTAAAACTAGGTATGGTTCACATTAGACTTGTTTAATGAAATAATAAAGTAGTGAATAAGATGACTATAATAATGTTTTTATATTTCTTATAATTTTATTTATTGAATCACTTTGAGAGCAGTTACAAAGCTTTTGTGTCTAAATCTCGGTCATACAATGAAACACCTTCACCAGTGCCCATTCTCCACCCCCCAACAACCCCAGTATACCCCCATCCCACCCCCTCCCCCTACCTGTGGGGCAGATGATTTCCACATTACTCTCTCTCTACTTTGATCACATTCAATATTTTGACACC